ACTAGGCTGCTGCAACTTTGTAAATGATGTTGGATAGTTTGCTGCTTGTAAATAATTAAAAGGCTTTATGGTTTCTAAAGTGCTGAGTATTAAACACCGTCATGAGTGTAACTTTTGTTACCATGCTTTCCATGCTTGTGCTTTATTTCTCACTGTTTGATATTATAAACCATATTTATTTTATGAAACACTGAAATTTAATAAAAATCATTAACTGATTTCCCTTTTTATTTCATGTGTACTTTTGTTGGTGTGACACTTCATCCCCTCAAAGAACTAATAATGCTTTAAAGATGTGCTGTTCTGTTCAGTAAAGCTTCACCTGGGAGGAGCTTTAATAACTTTATGACCAGAGCTTATTTCTCCTGACCCTGCTTGCAGTGTGCAAGAACTGGAACAAAAAAAAAAGGCTTTCAGAAAACTGGGAAGTAGTTTAGGGGTTTATTTCCCTGTAAGGATTTATTTCATCAATCTTCAGACTCTTGAATTTGGCTGCTGGTGTTTGATCTGTGTAGTCAGTGGCAGAATTTTGGTGATTTTCTAAGTGACTCAATTACCTAAAATTTAATCTTGAGTTTTAATTTACTTATCAAAAAAAACCCCCCATTAATCTGAAATAACCTTGGCAAGGAATAAAATGTATTAGTCTGAACACAGGGAGAGAGAGAGGAGCTTGTAAGAACAGGATAGAATTTGTGGGTGAATGTGCAGGGAACGTGGAGGCAAAGGCAAGCAGTGTTTTGTGGAAGGGAGAATGATGTATTTTCCTGCAGAAAGTTTTTGGATAATTCCAAATTTCCACTTTGAGGGTGTGTTCACTGCTGGGTGTCAGCTCAGGGGAAAACGTGGTTGTAGGACTGTGACTCCAGAGCTTTGTTAGTGCTGGTTTTGGGGTTGATTTTATGGAATTCTGAAGGCAGAGGATTTCTGACTGTGGCTTCAGTGACATCATACTCAGTCCCTCACTTTTAATGAGTGAAAAAACCACGTGTAGGAATAATGAGGGGATCTGTGCCCCAGTAACTCAGGGGACAATTGTGATGATTTGCTGATGTCACTGCTGAGAACACAGGATTTTGTCCTTCCAGAGCCACTGGAGAGCAGAGTGTAAAATAAAATACCCTGACAGTGAAATGGGTGGGAATTACCTGTTCCCTCCCTGGAGAAATAGAACTATCAGCTGTAGATAAATAGAATTAATTGGGTGACTTGCAGCTTAAGCTGTTTGTTGAGCTTGGTTTTCCCCAGGATCAGTTGGAGCCAGGGGTTGTTCCCTCTGGATAAAAAACCAGCTCCCAGCTGCTCACAGAGGTCCTGGTTGTGCTTCCTGGAGGAGCAGAAAGTGGGAGCTCTGCCTCTGACCTCTCTTGATTTTTATTTTTTATTAGTTTCTCCCACGTAACAAATACAAGAATGTACATCTTTAAAGTGCTTTTAAGTGCAATTTCTTTTTCTCAAGCTCTCATCCATCAGTCTGTGTGTTCCACGTGCTCTTTGTGTTTGTAGTTGACGTGTCCTTGTCTCATTTTCATCCTGCTCTGCTGGAGGAGGAGTTCAAGAATAATCTTAATTTGGAAAAGATTGCCTTATTTTTAACACCTTAATAAAGCTACACTGGGGCTGCTGGAAAGGTTGAGTGTGCAAAGAAAATAAATCTGATTTTTATCCTCAATGCACTGGGGAGTTGAGTGTAGAAATATGGAGTTTTCACTTCCTACAACCTGTTTAAAGCTGTAATTTAAAGTAAAAATAACACAAATGAGTTCTCAGGAATTAAATTTGCCTTTTCATTTGCTTTTCCCTCCAACAAACCTTCAGAACTGATCACAGGGGCAGTGTCAGAACACCCCAACCCCCCCCCAATTAAATATTTTATTTAATTTATTGTTTAAACAAGATGTGTCATCTTCCCTCGGGACTATCCTGGAATTTGGTACCTGCTGACCACACCTGGAATGCACCACTCCTTAGGGATGGGGATTGTTATTATTTTATTAACTTCATTAGCTTTATTTATTTTATTAGCTTTATTAACTGGTTTGCAGTTAATTAGGGGTGTAAATGGAATTAATTGTGAGCAGGTGAGGGGGATGCAGGGGGTGAGTCCCAGGGTATGATTTTGGGGCTCAGGATCTGCCAAATCTGCAAATTCAGCCTTTGGATGAAGCACATCACTCCAGAAAGAAGATTTTGGGGAGATTTTTATACCATTTTTTTGCTGCAGAACTGAAGAAACCTCTGAAGGATTTTGGGGGAGGGTGTTTTTCTGTGCTTCTGGTAAGTGAAAACTTTTATAGAACCTTCTCCAGGCCAGTTGGAAATGGGAATATTCCCATGGTCCACTCAGGTGTATTTTCAGATGTCTAAAATACATCATTAAAGCCAAAAAAAATGGAATTCTTGTCCTCAAGTGGAGCAGATGTTCTGTTGGTTAATTATATATACAAAACCTGAGTATTAAAAACAGGAGAAAAAAAATTATTTATTCTCACCTCTGTAATTATTTTGTTGTTACATTTATATTATGAGATATTTAAAATTTCCAGGGATGAATTTAGCTTTTTTGCAGCAGCCAAAGTTGTATCATAAGAGACTGTCCACCGTGAGAGGGCACAACATGAAGCTTATTTTTGATTAATCCACCTCTCTCACATGCTTCAGGAACTAAGAAAACGGTGAATTTAACTGGTTTTTTTTGATAAAAAACACATAAATCTCCCACAAATCATCAGGACAAACACACCAGAATTACAGGAGAAACTTTCACACCATGAAAATAAATATATTCCCCAATTAATTTGAGATCACTGCTCAGACTTCTCTTATTGTGTAGTAAGTAAAAAAAAAATATTTTTTTTCTTTTATTTTGTTTGGCAACATTGTCAATATAAAAATATATAAAAAAAGAAAATATTTCTGAGCTTTCTCTTGCAGGTGCCTTGAGGCTCGTTCTGTTTTTTGGGGGGGTGTGAAGATTTCCAGTTTCCAGTGAGAGTGTGAAAAGGTGCATTTTTTGCTCTTCTCTTCCAAATTCAACTCTCCTTGGGAAAAAGAAACCAAATTTAAAAACCTTGGATGGGGAGATTCCTGCAGGGATGGGAAGATTCCTCCAGGAATGTCCCTTCTTGGGTGGAGCTCAAATTAAGTGAAAAGATTTCTTAATTAAAATGCTGCTTTTTGGGGTGTGTTTGATTTTTTTTTTCCAGTTCATAAATGATCCCAAATCTCACAATCAGCTGTTCTTGTCCCCAGACAGAGAGTTCCTCAAGATTTGGAGAGAATAAGTGACAGAAATACAATTCAGTCCCTGAAATGATATTAAATATAATTGAATTACGTAAATCACAGCCTGGATGGCACAAAGATAAATTCCAGAAATGGAAAGACTCATTTTATGCCCTTTCCTTCCCTCTGAGTGCTCACCATGGGCACATTCCTGTTGTAAAAATTACAGGCTGAATTTATTTCCTTATCTGTGCCAAATATAAATTTACTTTCATCTTGGTCTTGAAATCCTGTCAAGAGTTTTTTGCTCCATCCCTCTGAACTCGTTCAGAAAGAACATATTTATTTTAGGAGGGGGAGAAAAAAAAAAAAACAACAAAACCTCTGGGGAAGTGTCTTAAACTGATTAAAAGGGATGATTAAAAATTCAATATACAGCATTTGTTCCTGTTCAAATGAGGCACTGGGAAGAAGGGGTTGAAGCAACCAAATCTCCCAGAATTACCTTGGCTTCATGTGGAAACCTTGGCAGAGAAAATCCCCATTTCTTCCTGCTCTTTGTCTTCCAGGGAATAACTCGAAAAACCCAAATTTACAGCAAAATAAAAAAAAAATAAAAATCCTTCCCTGATTTGCTTTCCTTTTTATTTCCCAGCCCCATCAGCACCATGATTTTTAATGTAATTTTAGTAATATTTTACTAATGTAATTTTAGTAATATTTTACTAATGTAATTTTAGTAATATTTTTCTCTTACACAAGAAGTTTCCAGTGTTAGAAGCTTAATTTTTTTCCCAGTTGGGGCAGAGTTTTAAATGAATTTTTTTTTCATTTTCCAGTGTTGTTTTCCTCTTCTTTTACTGAGTCTGTTGCTGTGGAAGGCGAAGCAAGAGGAAAAGATGCAGCAAGATGAAGAACCCACTGCTGAGAAGCTCAGAAGGCCCTTTGTACATTATATTAAATCCTGTTCTGCAGCCTGGAATGGGGTTTTATGCAGCAAGAGCTGCTGTCTGTGGTGTTAAAATTACCTGATTTGGGGTGCAATAATTGTCCTGGAAAACTGAGAGGAATTTTGTTCTCCATGTCCAGGTGTGTCCTGTTTAAAGCTGATAATTAAAAAGTCATTTAACAGGGATTTCTCCCTGCTTGCCTTGGGGAGATTCACTTCCAGCTTTCTCACTCATCTGTTAATCCCAGAATTCTCTTCCCTGGTTAAGGGGTATTGTTTGTGCCCTTCTGTGTGATTTTAAATAAATAGATTTTTGCAGTATTTGCTTAAAATGTTTAATAAAACCACTCTCTGCTTATCTGCATTTGATCTCCAGGTTAAAATCTCTGGGTAGGGGTGGAGCATGTTCTAAAAATGTTTGTGGGTTTGTTTTTTATCTGGAAATAATGGAAACTGTGGAGTCAGTGAAAAATTTCTGAGTGTTGGGAGGTAGAAGAACAACATCAGTAAAAAAAAAAAAACCCTTAGTTAAATACCCACAAAATTTAATTCATTTATTAAATCACAGAAAATCAGGATTAAATAAATGAATTAAATGATGTTTAACTGCTGCTGTACCACACTGAGCAATCTAAGATGCCCTCTGTGCATTCAGGCACGAAGAGCTTTAAAAGCTGAGGCTAAAAAAATAAAGTTTTGGTGCGTTCCAGGCTTGGAGGAGCTGATTTGAGGCTCATTTAAAGCCACGTTTTTGCCCTGGATTTTAAAACTGTTGTTTGCTCCCAAGAAAAAAAGAAAAAAAAAGAACAAAAAAATCCAACAGCAGTCTGTCCTGTTGCTGCATGCAGCTCTTTTATTTTCATTTATCTTTACAGAAATGTGAAGCATCTTCACAATAATTGTACAAAACCCTCTCCCCTTGGCTGCGTCCCGGAACAGCTCCCAAAATTCGGTCTCCGAGAGGAAAGACGGGAGTTTCACCTGCTCGTTGCTGCTAAAAAATTCCATGCAGGAGCCGACCTTGGAATACAAACATCATGTTCTAGAGAGATTAAATAAAAAGGGGTATAACAGGAAATAAATATACCTGTAATATTTAATGCAGGATATATGGATTTAGTCCATGTTGAGCGTATCGGGCGTTAGTGGACACGTAACATGCTGCTGGAAAACCCCAAAAGATCCCAGCTGTCCTCGTTTCTGCAGCTCCCCAGGGCCTGTCCTGCCTCTGCACTGGAGCACAACTATGGCCTTCCAAAAAATCAGGTTTTTTCCAAGTGGTTGGAAGCAACAACCATCCACGGAAGGTCCCTGTGCTCCTGTCCCAAACAGAAACGACTCCTGTCGCTGCTCCATTAAAAAAATAAAATACTTCTGTTTTTTACATTAGTATTGTAACTGAGGCTAAAGAACTAGGAAAAAAAAAAAAAAAAGAACCCTCGGTTCTCAGACTTGCCTTGCCCGTGGGTGAATATCTACAGGGGGTTGTTCCTCCATCCCAGGAGGAGCTGGGCTGGAATTTTACACGGTGGGAAGAACGACCCTGCGGAACGGGGAGAGCCCGCCTGGAATCCAGGGGTTTATACACTGGCCATCCTCAAAATATGGGAATATTGAGGGTGTTTTGGGAGGATCACAAACCATGGAGAGCCTTTAGTCCTTTAGGTTTGTGGTTTCCTCTGAGGTTGATTATTTCCAGGGATTAAGGGTCAGGAAGGACCTCGTGTGCCTGGTGAGGGAGGAGAGGGACCCAACACTCAATGGAGCCTCTGGAACAGGGACTGGGCCACATGGCTGACCTGGCTGCTTGGGGCTGGGGAGTGAAATTTAAAGTAATTTAAGGGTTTTTTTAAGGAATTTAAGTGCCTTGAAATGAGAGGGTTTAGCTGAGGAGCTGTTTGCTTCTCGACACCCACCAACACTGTGCTCACCCCCTCCTGCCCCCCAGCAGCCAGTCAAACAAAAATACCCACCTAAAAATCGTATATTCTGAGTAAACACCTGCAGATAATCACATCTGTTATTTTATTTGGGATTTGGGCTTCTTTTTAAACCTGTAACCCTGCTTTGTTCCACTGTCCCTTGAAAAAGTGGGGTTTGGAAAATGCTCTGTCTCAAATGTAGGCAATTCAATATATAAATGCTCCACGAGGCATTTTTGGGGTGATCTGAGCATCTTGAGGCTTTACATTAACACAGAGCCAGCGTGTGTTTTAGTACTTCAACCCCTCCCACTTTTTACCTTACAACTTTTTTTTCCATTTGAAGTGACAGATTTGGCACGTGAAGTTAGGAGCAGAAATAAATNTAAATATACCTGTAATATTTAATGCAGGATATATGGATTTAGTCCATGTTGAGCGTATCGGGCGTTAGTGGACACGTAACATGCTGCTGGAAAACCCCAAAAGATCCCAGCTGTCCTCGTTTCTGCAGCTCCCCAGGGCCTGTCCTGCCTCTGCACTGGAGCACAACTATGGCCTTCCAAAAAATCAGGTTTTTTCCAAGTGGTTGGAAGCAACAACCATCCACGGAAGGTCCCTGTGCTCCTGTCCCAAACAGAAACGACTCCTGTCGCTGCTCCATTAAAAAAATAAAATACTTCTGTTTTTTACATTAGTATTGTAACTGAGGCTAAAGAACTAGGAAAAAAAAAATGAACCCTCGGTTCTCAGACTTGCCTTGCCCGTGGGTGAATATCTACAGGGGGTTGTTCCTCCATCCCAGGAGGAGCTGGGCTGGAATTTTACACCGTAGGAAGAACGACCCTGCGGAACGGGGAGAGCCCGCCTGGAATCCAGGGGTTTATACACTGGCCATCCTCAAAATATGGGAATATTGAGGGTGTTTTGGGAGGATCACAAACCATGGAGAGCCTTTAGTCCTTTAGGTTTGTGGTTTCCTCTGAGGTTGATTATTTCCAGGGATTAAGGGTCAGGAAGGACCTCGTGTGCCTGGTGAGGGAGGAGAGGGACCCAACACTCCGATGGAGCCTCTGGAACAGGGACTGGGCCACACGGCTGACCTGGCTGCTTGGGGCTGAGGAGTGAAATTTAAAGTAATTTAAGGTTTTTTTAAGGAATTTAAGTGCCTTGAAATGAGAGGGTTTAGCTGAGGAGTTCTGTTTGCTTCTCCACACCCACCAACACTGTGCTCACCCTGTCCCGCCCCAGAGCAGCCAGTCAAACAAAAATACCCACCTAAAAATCGTATATTCTGAGTAAACACCTGCAGATAATCACATCTGTTATTTTATTTGGGATTTGGGCTTCTTTTTAAACCTGTAACCCTGCTTTGTTCCACTGTCCCTTGAAAAAGTGGGGTTTGGAAAATGCTCTGTCTCAAATGTAGGCAATTCAATATATAAATGCTCAACGAGGCATTTTTGGGGTGATCTGAGCATCTTGAGGCTTTACATTAACACAGAGCCAGCGTGTGTTTTAGTACTTCAACCCCTCCCACTTTTAACCTTACAACTTTTTTTTCCATTTGAAGTGACAGATTTGGCACGTGAAGTTAGGAGCAGAAATAAATAAAACAGGAATCCGCCCTAACCAAATAGATACAAAATTAATAATTGAAAAAAAAGGGCAAAAAATAGGCAATAAAACAACCCCCCAAAAAAAACATTAGAGACAGTTCTGTTTCTGCCCAGAGCTCAGTGGAGTGGGAACATTGGACTCTGCTTTTCCCTGTGGTGCCTCTCCAAGCCCGGGATGTGCCATCACCCAGGGCCTCCTGACCAGCACTTCAGGAAAAAACAACAATAAATAATAAAAATACGGACCCCAAAACCCCCATCCAGGCACAGCAGGTCTCTCTCAACACCTTCTCAAGGTCCTACCTTGGCACAGGTCCTACTCTGGGCATCCCCAATTCTCCCGAAGCGCCACAGGCAGGACGGGCAGCACATCCCTGTGGGCTGAGGCTGCCCCAGGGCATCTCCCCCCAACTGTTAAAAACTGTCATTTTAAGCAGGTTTTGGTTTCTTTTGTGGTTTTTTTTCCTGTAAACATTTAGTTGGGGTGTCCTGGGGAGCAAACAGTGGATGTTAATGGCAACAAACCGTTCAGTTGGATGCTGATGGGATTTCACGGCCATGTTGTGCTTTCCAGGCTTCTTGTTAAAAACAAACAAACAAAAAAAAACCCACTTGGAGTTTGAAGATATGAACACAAAAGTATATAAAGTTAACCCTGCCTCGGTCAGTTGCTTGGCAGGCAAATAAACCCTTTCCACATGTGCAAAAATAGATGGAAAACACATCTGGTGCCTCCGCTGCCACCAGGTCCCCACGGGTGGGTGATGCTGGATGTTCATGCACCTCTGCTGCAGGCAAAGCCACRGGGATGGGGGGATAAAGTCAAACAGGGATGGCTGGAGCTGCTGG